TTCTTCCATAAAGCTAGGGGCAGGGGCTCACCAGTCCTTAGTCCCATAATTAGCCAGCTACTGCAGAACTGGAAGTGATATCATGAAGTCATTCAGTTTCATTCCTATGCGGAAGTTGCTTTTGATATATATATAATATATATTATGTATATATATACTCTTTAGTGTTGCATTGCTTTTTTAGAAGCATATTTCTAATATCAAAAAATAACTAAAAATTCTTCATCATGTTAAGGAAGTTCACTCTAAGTTTTCTAACAGCTGGGTGTTTTTGTTTTTTTAATTTTGTACTTTTTAAAAATATAATAATGGCTGTTTAATTCATCAAATGCTTTTTGGGCATGTATTAAAGAGATCAGACATGGTTTTTCTCCTTTAAACAATTTACAATAATCATGTGACTGTTACATCACTACTGCATTTCTGGAATGAAACCTTTTTGCTCATGGTTTATAATTTTTTTTAACCACTATTCAAATTGCTATTTACTTATGTTGACTACATTATCATTACAAATAATAGCATTTGTTACAGTTACTCTGTGCCAGACTCCGAGATTAACACTTTATTCATCATCTAATTTTCTCAACAACATTATGAGATAGTAATTCATTTTATAGATGAGGAGAGCAGTGCACAAAGATTTCAAGTAACTTGCTTAGCGTCACATAGCTATGAAAACGTGTCAGGGTTCTAGTCAAACCTAGCTCATTTTGCCCTAAAGCAAATTGTAATCAGAAGGATGTTTGGCGACATAAAGGAGATGGCACATGATCTGATTGCGTGGTCGATATCTTCAAACTGTCATAGCATCAGTTTCCAGTATAGGGGCATGCCTCTCATTGGAAACAGATTCTCCTGTTCGTAAATCAGGATGCCCCTTTCTGAGAAAAATCTAGAGAGACACAAACAGTTTTTGCCTCTTTTGGATACCACGGAAACCATCCTCTCTCTTTAGATGTGGTATTGATGGTACTGTGCTGCTGGCCTCACATAACCCATTCACACACCCTTATCATAGAGACAGGTGGAGCGGGGAGAGTTGATTGTTCACGGGGAATAAGGAAAGGAGACCCATACACTCAGTAAGTGTAAGCCCAGCACAGATTTGGTCCTGATATAATTTGAAAACCTGATAATTTTCAAAAGTTCTGCTTGTGCTTGTTCAGGTAATTGATAATAACAGGAAAAAAAGGCTATATACTATTTCTTTCTGTCCCTCCTATATCTATAGAAATTATGGAATCAAGATCCAGGGAGTGCACAGGTGTCTCTTTCGTTTCTGTTTTCAAGCACCATATTGAAGCATGTCCAGTGTCCTGATTTCACCCTTTCCCCAGTGGTCTGTGACAGGAGCCAGATGCTCAGGTTTGAAGGACATTAGTATTGACTCATTCTTGCCGGTTTTTCTCAGATCTGGACTCTCTAGCCCATCCTGCATTCTGTAACACTCCCCAGCACACTCTCGGTCCACATCTGACATCACTACTTGAATCCTCAAAAATCCTCTCCTTGAATCTCAGCCTCTTTTCTTGTCTTTTCTCACAAATCTGTTCTCCATTTCTGGTAGGCATAGTAGTCGCCCCCCAAAGATGCCCATGGCCTAATTCCTGAAACCCGTTAGGTTACATGGCAAAGGTGAATCAAGGTCATAGATGGAATGAGGTTGCCGATCAGCTGGCCTTAAGATCTGCCTGGATTGGCAAGGTGGCTCAGTGTAATCACAAGGGTCATTAAAAGTGAAAGAGGGTGATGGTAGAGAGAGGGCTAGACAAGTGGCAGTGAGAGATGGACATGGACTGCACTGCTGGCTCTGCAGATGGAGGAAGGGCTTTGAGCCAAGGAAAGTAGCCTGCTTCCAGGGGTTAGGACAGGCAAGGCAACCAATCCTCCCCTAGCGCCTCCAGAAAGAAAGCAGTGAGACCAGTGCCAGACTTCTAAGCTACAGGATTGTTCAGATAATAAATCTGTGTTTATTTTTACTTTTGAGCCACTAAATTTGTGATGATTGTTGCAGCAGCAATAGGAAACTAATTTACCATGCTGTTCTCTCCTCCAGCATCTCTCTGTCCCCCACCCACCACTAGCTCCATGCATCTTCTACAGGCGGCCACTACGGTGGTGTATTTGCTTACTCTACGTGACTGTCACCCTGGTCTTGAGACCCCAGCCCTGGGTGAACCCTTCTTGTCGTGTAGCTTTTAATGTTCACATTATTGAAACCTTATCTTTGCCATAGCAACTCTTCCAAATTTCACTACCTCTTACTCCCCCAGGCCTATCTTCACCCTGTTAGTTTTAGCAGATGATCTCACCCCTCCTCCACTGATAGGGTTGGCACCATGTCTTGAGCCCCCTGCACTTTCAGGAACTGTCTATGACATCCAGTTATCCATTCCCAGGTTTGCGTCTCTAGGCCTCTGTGTAGCATCTGACAGTGTCAACAACACCTCCCTTTAAGGTTTTTCCATGGCCTCTGTGACCTTACATTCATTTTCTTATCTCTCTAATTACTTTTTCCCCCTTCTATTGCCTTTTTTTTTTCATTCCTTAAATCTAAGCCTTCCTTAGGTTCTGTTCTTCAGAGATCACCACTACCAGGGCTTCCTTCACATCTGGCCGTCGCGCCCCTCCAGGCCCCAGGCATCCTGCTGGGTGGCACCTTCTGTTAGTCCTAAAGCACATGGAGACAGGAATCTTCTTTCAGTGCACTTGTGTCTGTGATCTTCTCAGATGCAGGAGCCACCAGCCTGTGTTCCAGGCACTCTAGGCCCTCTGACGGGATGAGAACGGAGGTGGCAGGGCACCAAGATGGACTTGGGTTGAGGTCAATGCCGGTTCCTCATTCCAGCCCCCGCCTCCAGGATTTATGCAGCGTGAAGTGGGCTAGGCTGAAGGGCTTGTGTTTCATTCCTCTGGGGTTTTTGTCGGTTTTGTCACAAGTACTTCCTTATTGGATTGGGATGCAGTTCATACAGCCGGAGTGACTTCTGAGGAGCACCTGGCCAACTTTGCCCTCTGGCAGTAGATACCTTTACATCATTTGCCTCAGGTTCCTGTAAACAGAGGGAGGGCCAGGATTTGAGCAGGTATAAAGGCCTATGAGGAGGCCTGGAGCTGAAAGTGGAAGTGTCAGTGTCACTGAGAGACAGTTACAACCGTGGGATGGTCATGGGTCCTCACCTAAAACACTGGACATGGAGCCCCATCCTGAAGCGCAGCAGAGCGGTCCTTTCCGGCGGCAGCGCATGTATCTTCCTAGCTCTCTCCAGGGCCAGAAACCTCTCCAGTGCTCTGCGGACCGTGTGCTGCAGAACGCGTCTTGGTAAGACACTTAGGACTTCATGCATTGAGACATATAATTGGCCATTTTTACAGCTCACTGCAAAAAGGTCTTTAGGAAGCATTGTGAAACCTTACTTTGGGCTATAATGATATAAAGCCAATTAAATTAGATCCTTATACTTTGCCAGTTGCTTCTCTGCTTTCCACACTGAGCTGACTGTAAAACATGGTGTTTGATTTGTGGCTTTGATGGGTGCATATGCTTTGCCCACTGTGATGTTAAATCAGTGAAAAAAAAAGTGTTACCTACAATCAAACACATCAGGCTCATTGCTATATACCAGGAAGTTTATTCAACTATATATACCAGGTATCATATTAAGGCACAGGACATTCAAAGATGGGTACATCATGGTTATTACCTCCAAGATCTCAAAATCTTAGACTCTAAAGCAAAGACATATTTTTTTTCTTTTAGTAATATTACATGCTTGACATTTTTCTAGCCTACCCACCTGCACCAATGGAAGATAATTTAATTTTTGTACTAATTCCAGCATACATAGTTAAATTTATCCTGAAAGGTTCAGCCAGCACACATTTTTTGTTTTCGCAGCTGGACAAGATGTAAACTCCCATGTGTTGGTGGCTTAAAGCAGTGTTCCCCATTGGGACCAGAGATAACTACAGCTTATGGAAGGGTGTGCACATGTGGAAAGAAGGAAGCATGTCTTAGGCTTTACAGTAGGAAAGTGTACATAAAGTATATACCTCTTGGGAGAAGATGTGTATCTGTGAGTTAAACTGCTGGGTCATATAAGCTGTATATACTTAATTATCTGGAATGACTGAACCAGTGTACATTCCTAGTAGCAGTTCATATTTCTATCAAAATTAGAACTGTGTAGCTTTCTGATTTCACCAGGCTAATAGGTATAAAATGACACATGGTTTTAATGTGCATTTTTCAGATCCCATATAAGTTGGAGCATCCTTTCATGCTTAATTCAATTTTATATTCTTTTTGTCACTTAATTTTTTTTGCAATATATTTCTATGGTTTTTGATATATGGATTAATATACTGAGATGTATTTAACCATAGCAATTAGGTTATATCATATTCAGCTGCCAAAAATGCCAATGGCCATTTTTGACCCAAAAAAAAGCAAAATCTATGGTCCAACTTAATATATTATTGGATGTATAGATCTTTCCAAGTTTTCATTATTATAAATAACATTTTAATAACCATATGCTGTGTTATATAGTGTTTTTTCTTTTGAATTTGTCCTTAGGGTAAATTTCTAGGAGAAAGATTACTGAGTCAGAGAATGAATGTTTTTATGGCTAATACTACATATTGCCAAATCACTTTCTAAAAGGGCTGTACTGGTTTACATCATGCATCATTTATGTCATGACTATACTGGTTTTAGTCCAACTTCATAAACATTATACATTACCATTTAAACTATTAATAACTATAAAAATTACCTCATTTTTACTTAATTATAGCTAATCATAATCATTTATTCAGGTGCTCATTGATAAATAATATGCTTTTGTGAGTACGGTCTATTTGTTCCCTTAGTTCATTACTAGTGTCTTTTTTTCTTAGTCGACTTGAAAGTGGGTTTTCATATAATATAGTTTTTCCTGTCTTCAATTCTTAAAAATTAAATTATTCATTTATATACAATTTATTCTTCAGATGACAATCAAAACAAAACACATGATAAAAAAGAGAAGAAGATGGTGGTTCAGAAGCCCCATGGTACTATGGAATATACTGTAAGTATAAACAAAATGTGTGAACATTGTTAATACTACTAGGTTTGCGTAATGTTTATCACTGACACATTCTGCCTCTCGGCTGCTTTACTCTTTACTCTTGTGTACTCATTAAATAATGAAGCTTCTTAAGACTGGTTCTAGGTCATTTCTTTTCCCTCCATACTTTCTCCCCTATCAACCTCGTGTAACCAGTGACTTGAGAATGTGAGGAGAGTGATCTGCTGGCAACATCTGTCACCCTATTGATCACCAGTGTTGCTTAGACCAATCTGGCTGACCAAGCAGGTGTCCCCTTCTTCCCTTACTGCTCCATGTGTCTCCCCCTTGAAGCTGTGATGAAGAGGATGACCTTCCTCAGTAGAGGAGGATTCTTCTTCAGTTAAGGGTATTCTAGTAACTGTACTCCCCCGCTAGAAACTCCAAACAAACCGATGACTTTATCTTTGATATGACAGTGACTACCAATTTTAGGTCTCCATCCAAGACATCTTTCTAAGTTCCAAAGGCACATATTCAGTTGACTACTAAATATGTCCACTTAGTCCTCCATGCTTGGTCCTTTTTCAAGAAGCAATGGCTTCACCATCCGTACCTTTACGCAGTGCAGATCCTTATCCTTGACATCTTCTTCCCCTTACTCTCCGTGTTCATTCCTACCTTTTGTGACTATCCAGCGAGTCTAGGCCAGATCCCTTCTTTTTATACTCTCATAGAATCAATGTTCCTTTACATAATTTATCTCAGCTTAACATTATTCCTCAGATCTCTGCATAATTCAAGGCTCACCTGGTGGAGCTAGTTCTGCTTACAGAGTCAGCCACCAGTCTTGACCCAGGGCTACAGATGGGACCTTCTCAGTGACATTCATCAGAGTGACCTCCCATTGGCAAGTCCCTCTGGTGACTCTGGACAGGGACTTCACCCTGGGACATTGACATACTACAGGAAGCCAACTTCTTTCTGGGTGGAGCTATTTTACTGTGAAGTTTCTCATCTTCTCCCTGCCCGCTATTGCTACTCCTTCTCTACTATAGAAGGAAAGAAAAGTATATACACCTGGAACATAAGTCACAAGTTTTATAGATTTAGAGAATAACACTAATTTGGCTGACCATGGAAAATTATCATTTTAATGACAATGAACAATTATTGGTAGCTAATCTGCATTTCTTTCAGATTTCCTTGCTTTCCACAGTATTCATTTGTCAGCTATTTGAGTGCCCTCTGTGTGCCAGGCACTGTGCTGAGCACAGGGGAAAACAGCCATTAACAGGCCAATGTCCAGCAGCCTATAGTGCAGGGATGAGATAGACAAATGACAGAAATTACAAGAGAGGAGGTAGCCCCACTTCCCCAATGGGTGGATACTGTGTGTGTCTTCTTTCTTTTCTTCTCACAGTTTTATGTTATAGCTCTTCGACATCTACTCTGTATACCTAAGTTGTGCCCAAGTAAAATTAGAAATCCATTAGTGGACAGTGAAATTTGAGGACGAAGGAGCCTGGTAATGAACTGCATTTCAGACTTTGCTTTTATGTGATTTTATTAAGAATTGAGAATGCATCCACTATTTTTCATAGTCCTTCTGGATGGAACTATTACGTTTTCATTTCCTCATATTGTGAATAGATTAACATTATCTATCAAAAGGATTTTTTTTTTTTTTGCTTTATAAATTGACTCTGATTTGTTTGATTATTCTAGGCTGGAAGCCAGGATACCCTAAACTCCATAGCACTGAAGTTTAACATCACTCCCAATAAATTAGTGGAACTGAATAAACTTTTCACACATACTATTGTTCCAGGCCAGGTAATTATTTTCTTGTTAAATATGACTTTAGAATTTCGTACATATCTTTTATTGCCATTTTTAATGCTTCACTGTTAGCGTCACAGGATTGTCTTCAATCTTTCCTCTCCTTTAGATCCAAGAATTCCAAAAGGAACCTAACTCTATGAACTGTTCAGAGATGAATACTTTGCAAATCATTAATACAGTTTGTTAGAGCTTTTGTTCATTTATGTAGTAGGTGTTTCTGAGGGCATCAAGAGAAGTTCTAAATTAATGTGACTTTGTTTTTTTCCTGTTGAATATAACAGATATTCTCAGACTGTTTAATTCAGAATTGCAAGTTTCAACTTAGTCCATTCCTCTGGGGTAAATTGTGGCCATTGTTTTATTTTAATGTAGGCAGAATTTTGAGATTTTTGTCTCAATTTGATACCATGACAAGAATGGTCAACCTGATCAAAGACAGAGGCATATTCAGCAGGACTGTCCACAAAAGGCCACCCTGGTTTTTTTTTCTAGGTTTTTAGTACAGTCATGTACAACATAATGACGTTTCAGTCAATGATGGACCACATAAGATTACTGTATTTTTACTGTCCTTTTTCTATGTTTAGATACACAAATACTTACCATTGTGTTACAGTTGCCTGCAATATTCTGTATGGTAACATGCTGTACAGGCTTATCGTAAGGAGCAATAGGCTGTAGCATATAGCCTAGGTGTGTAGTAGGCTGTACCAGCTAAGTTGTGTGAGTACACTCTATGATGTTCAAACAATGACAAAATCACCTAACGATATTTTCCAGAACGTATCCCAATCATAAAGTGATATGTGACTGTACTTTATTTATTAAACTGAATGGATTTGACAAATTGTGTAATTTTGCCACTCTAGGTTAATCCAGTAAACTTTTTTTAAATACCTTCTACATGACAAGATATTCTTGTATCTCCACTTTAAACCATGTTCAGCCAGTAAATTTAAACGGCTCAGTCACTGAAGGAACTTAGCTGAGGCCAAGTGTCCAGTCCCCTCCATAGAAGTACTTGGTTGCCATGAGCACATTTGGGTTCCATTGATAACTTACGAGGGCATCTTCCTGCAGCTCTGCATTATAGTGACATTTAATTCTTTCAGAATAGATAATGCTACTTTGAAGCACAACTTCATTCAGGCAATGATGATGTTATTCTTTGCATTTCTTTCAAGGGCAGCACATGAAGGCAACAGGGTCACAAGTTGACCAGTTTGTACTGTAGTATTTTTGGCATTTATGTTCTTGTCAAAAGGAGAAATTAGTATACTGCCAGCACCAGGTAATGTGTGTGGGAGGGGGGATATCATTAAAACTTTTCAAAAATTAATAAATTTTTATCTCTAGGGTAACTAACAGACTTTAATCTCTTTCACTGTTGGACTAGTCTTAAATCCACTAATTAAAAGGCAAAAGACTATAGTCACTGGAATTTAGTAAAATAATTTAGGGTGATTCTTTATGCTATGTCCATAAACAGAATAGTTGATTGGTGCTAGATTAAGGTCCAGGAGCTGATAGGAACATAAGAGCTGTTTTAATACGCCTACTGTAATGGTAAAAGCACTAGAAAAAGGAGCCCCAAAGCTTTGTTTCCATTTGGCTTTGTATTAGCTACATGACCTGGGCAAGTCACTTCCTTTTTTGTATCTCAGTTTCCTAATCTCTAAAATTAGAATTTGGGCCTTATTATCTCAGATGTCCCTTCTAGCCTTTGTTGTGTTGTCCAGCCCTTACAGAGTTAAATAGGTATGTGCTGTTAGCTGTCCCAGGACCCATCTATACTCACGATTTTTGCTGGCAAAGATCAGGGATTGAAAAGAGTGAAACAGATTGAGGACCTTTCAAAAACTACCGATGACCTTTTGATTTCAAGGATTATAAAATACTCTATTTTGGTGCTTGGAAGTGTAGGCATCCCTCTCATCGCAGTACATCTGATAAATCAAAACCAGTTTGATCTGCTCTGGTTTCAGAAAATGTGAGACTCATCCTTCTGGAGACTGATTTGATGATCACCTTGAGATAGAAAAGAAAACTGGTCTGGCTGGGTCAGTGACCTCACGTAAGAGTGATTTTAAGAGGAGATTACCTGAGAGTTTATTGAACTAAAATCTTTTTCTAGACTTTTCGTTACATCAGAAGATAAAAAACAAGATCAGACACATTTAAGAAAAAAAAAATAACTGAGGCGTAAAATGTTCTTGAGAAGGTCCTGAGTTTGGCTGTTAGTTCTCAATACATCAGATTTGAGGACATATATAAAAAATGGACTTTTATAAGTAGTTTGTCTTGAGCACACTCAAAAATTATACTGTGGATATATACTTTAAGATGTTTTCATGTTCACAGGATACCTTGGCTACAGATGCTTAAAATTTTTTTCTAGGCTAAAATGACAGTCTTGCTTTATAGTAAAGACTTTTAGGACCTCAAAACCACATTTGCCAGTGTTGGAGCAAACCCAGAATTATTTTCTGAAGGCAGCAGGAAACCTTCACCACTCCCCGGGATCCAGGCTTACTTCCATGCTGAGGCAGCACATGTTCTGACTGCTACTCACCTCTACCCACTGTGCAGGTAGCTGTTTAAGCAGAGGAATAGCCCTTAGATTCAACATTTAGAATGTGTCAGACCATAGAATCTCAATCTGTGTTGTCTAATACTTTCCAGGAGTTCAGGTACAAAAATATATTAATGGACAGTTGCTTGGGAAAAATGTTGTCCATTCATTCCTCCAGTTGAGCTATTTAAGGTAAATAAAAGCTGTATACCAAAACCACATAATGTTAGTCCTTTGTAAATTATTTTTACAGAACTCCAAAATTGGGCATTTGCCGTTGACCCATATTAAAGATGTTAGAAAGAACAGTCTTCTAAAACTGGTTGTTGTATTTACTGTTAGTGTGTCATCAAGGACAAATAGTTCAGTCTAGAACACTCCTTTTCATGAGACTCCATGAGGAGGAGAAACTGGTTTCTTCTTATATTATGGAAATTGAATTCTGCTCACAATTGATGTCCATCTCTGCATTGATCATATGGAAACTCAGAGCCAGTTTTGTGGCCCACTTCTCAATGAGTGTTTAGTAATTTTGGAGCATTTATTTTCAGTAGTAATCAGTCCTTACCTTATATCCTCTTGACTTTGATTTTCCCACCTTTATCTTACTGTGTCTTTTATTGTCTCAATTTTTTTCCGGATTGAAGTGAGAGTTAAATAACTAAAGTTAAAACAGATATATGGCCAGAAGGATGGGAGACAGTGAATAATAGTATTGATCAATGATCAGTTATATGATTATCTCTGAATTCTGTCTTATAAAGGTCATCATTTGAAGATTATATTTGACATACACCAAAATGTAGCATGTCTCATTAAAAGAATGCTAAATGACAGGATCATAATAACATTTTGAGAACCAGAATATTTTCCGGAACAGAGTTATTTTGTGCATTTTGGGGAGGGGCTTCTTATTTTTATTTATTTATTGTTTCAGACAGAGTCTCGCTCTGTCACCCCAGGTAGAGTGCAGTGGCATCATCATAGATCACTGTAACCTCAAACTCCTGGACTAAGACATCCTCCTGCTTCAGCCTCCTGAATAGCTGGGACTATTGGCATGCCCCATAGTTCCCGGCTAATTTTTCTATTTTGTGTACAGATGGGTCCTCGCTGTTACTCAGGCTGGTCTCGAACTCCTGGCCTCAAGTGATCCTCCCACCTCAGCCTCCCAAGAGTGCTGGGATTAAAGGCATAAGCCAATGCTCCTAGCCTTCTTCTATTTTTAGATAACCCAGACACTGATAGAAGAGAAAGTATTGGGATTATTGTATTGATATTACTTTGTACAGTTTATCATATGAGCACCTTAGTACTTTAGACCTCAGGGCCTGCTTAGAGTTAGCAAGCCTGGATTGGATCCATTTCTACTTGACACAGGTATTATGTTTAGACGCATAACATGCTTCTCTCTCCTCAGTTCCCTTATGCTGTTAGTCCCCTTGCCTGGAGGGCTCTCCCACCCTCCCGTGTAATTTCTGCTTATTCTTCAAGGCTTCACTGGGACCTGCTTGCTTCACGTGGCCCGCCCAGAATACTTACCCACCTTGTTCTCCCCTCTTCTGAGCTCCTGCAGTGTCCACAGACGTGTTCCACACCCTTTGCACTGCACACATTCAGATTGCTGAGTTATTGTTTCATGGATTAGTCTAGAAGACCCCAAGTTGCTTGTGAGTTCTGTGAAAGCCAACGGCGTCTTAGTCATGCATTAAACTGAGCAGAGCATGACTTCACTGAACACTGGCTAGTGGTTTGCCTGATTCTTGGGACTTCTTCATCTCTTCTTTCCTATTCTCAGGTCCTTTTTGTGCCAGATGCCAACTTTCCTTCCAGTACCTTAAGGCTATCGTCATCCAGTCCTGGTGCTACTGTCTCTCCTTCTTCATCAGATGCAGAATATGATAAACTGCCTGTATGTATGTTGTGCGCTTCATGTGCTGAAGTTCACTTTTATCAAAGAGATTCTTTGTGAGTTGCAGAATTCAACGTGTTATTTTTTTTTTTACAAGTTTACATCTCAAATTCTCCCTGCAGAGTTGGGGTTAGGTAATTGGAGAATGAAATGCATCCTTTCCAAGAGAAACCTGTTCACATTTAAGGTCTCAAAAGCAAAAATGCATGCCTCTGTAAAAGTATGAAGTTAAATTCCCAAGGAAATAGATAGTTTATTTGTACTCCTTTTTTTTTTAAGAGAATTTGAATTAAGAGTCTAATATGAAGTGTTTCATTGAGCTTATGTTCTGAAGACATTTTGTTAGCCAGTTTTAGGGGTTCATACATATGCCCTTGTTTTTTTAAAAAAAAATCTTAGTTTTATTTGGATATCTATTATATTTGTGATATTTTTAAAGGAAGAAGGACACTGCCTTTTTTAATGTTCAAGTTAAATAGAAACAGTATGCTTACAGGGAACTTATGTAACTTGATTTATACACATAATTTGTTCTGAAAAATTTTGATTTTGGAAATTTTTGCTTTCATAAGGATGCTGACTTAGCACGAAAGGCCTTAAAACCCATTGAAAGAGTCTTATCATCTACTTCTGAAGAAGATGAGCCAGGCGTGGTGAAATTTTTAAAAATGAACTGTCGATACTTCACTGATGGAAAGGTATATTGCTATGTAATTTGTTTCCTTTTCTTGGAATCTGTGGAAAACGAAACAAGTTTGCAAATTACTGGAAGGGTGGCTACCTTAAAAGAAAGTTTCAGTTTCAGATTTGACAAGCACCTATTAGTTTTCCTCTGTTGGATGCCTGGCATTTTACTTATTGAGGGAAACACAATCACTGAGTGGAAATGTGATTCTTTGTGACCTTGGATTTATCCCTTTGCCTTTGAGTTCTTGGCCTGTGAATTGTTAGGGAGACATTATAGTAAACATTTAATAGCAAACGCTGGAGTCAGACTCATTGAATTTGAATTCCAGCTCAACCACTCACTAACTCTGAGACTATGGGCAAAGTATTTAAATTTCCTAAGCTTCCATTTTCTTCATCTATAGAATAGGAACAATAAAAAAATTAACTGATAGGGTGTGATAATTAAAAGAGATAATTCATGTTAAGAGTTTTGCATCCAAACTAGAAAATGGTAAGCTCTTAACCTGTGTTTGCTATTAACAATGCTAATGTTAATATCTGCTATTTAGTTTTTTGGTTGTTAGTGGTTTTTGTTTTTTTTTTTTCCTTCACAAAGAACAAATCCAACTTTTAGTGAGCCTCTGAAGATGGGGCTATGTTGCTATCCAGTGAATTCCTGTGATCATAGCAGAGACTTCCTATCAGGTTTCAAATAATAGGAAAATATGCATTGATCTGCATTTCTAACTTTTGCAAATAAGAATAAGTAATACTTAAAATACAAAACTTTTTTTTACAAAAGAGCTTTATTGAGATATAATTCACATATCATACAGTTCAGCCATTTAAAGTGTACAATCCAGTGGTTTTTAGTTTGTTCACATAGTTGTAAAATCATCATCACAATCAATTTTAGAACATTTTCATCACCAAAAAAAGAAACTCTGTAACCATTAGCAGTCATTCCCCATTTCTCTCCCCTCACCGCCTACCCTCTCCACACCCCCACATCCCAGACACAGGCAGTCACTTATCTTCTTCACGTATCTATGTATTTGCCTATTCGGGGCATTGTTTTATTCTTCCTATCTAACTGCAATTACATAGCCTTTGACCAGTATCTCCCCATCTCTCCCTTCCTTCTAACCACCCATGGCTCTGGTAACCACCATTCTACTCTCTTCTTCTATGAGATCAACTTTTTTAGCTTCCACATGGGGTGAGATCATGCAGTATTTATCTTTCTGTGCCTGGTTGATTTCACTTAACATAAGGTTCTCTGGGTTCATCCATGTTGTTGCAAATGACAAGATTTCTTTTTTTAATGGCTGAATAATATTCCATTGTATACATATATTACATTTTCTTTATCCGTTTATCCATTGATGCACACTTAGGTTGATTCCATATCTTGGCTGTTGTGAATAATGCTGCAATAAATGTGGGAGTGCAGATATCTCTTTGCGATACTGATTTCATTTCCTTTGGATATATACCCAGTAATGAGATTACTGGATCTACAAAATTTTTCACAAAGATGATCACTAGACTCATTAAAGGTACCAAAATAAATTATCTGCCTTAACGGAGTCATTTGTATCCTTCTGTCCATGGTAGATAATATCCCTGTGCCCATTAAGGTCTGTAATGTAATCTGACCAAGCTTTAGACTTTTAAAATCCCACCAAGCTACTGCTTTATGTTTTTACTTTCTATAGATCAGCTATATTCACTCTGGCTGCAAAAATTTCATATGCCTGTTGAGGTTGAATTTTGCTGGATGTGGCCCCTGTAAACATTTTAGAGAAGAAGATTGAGACTATTCTTTGGCACCATGATTCTGAGACAGTTGCTCCCTTAGCACAGTACCAGGCTCTTGCTAGACATGTCATGAAGCCTTGCTAAGTGAATCGTAAAGCCCTGTGGTCTCAATCTGGAAAGCACTTGGGACAGCCCCTCTCATTTTACAGAGAACTAGGACATCTGAGACACGCATGTGTGAACCAGGATCGCTCTGCAATTGTGCTGTTGCAGCAGCTGTGCTAGAATTGGGGTTGGTTGATTGCCACAGCAAGGCAAGTCTGTTTTCTCTGCCTGTCCACCCAGCACCCAGCATTGCATTTCTTCAGCCTGGTCTTCCGGCTCTCATACAGGGGATGTGATTGTCACGTAGGATACTGTGGTTCACAGTCAATGGAATGGCAATGCGAGTCAATTAAAGCTTCTGTGGTGGTTGCTGAAAACATTTCTCCCTGGAGTGATTCTGTCTTGTGCTTTCTCCTGCAGGGTGTGGTTGGAGGTGTCATGATTGTCACTCCTAACAACATCATGTTTGACCCTCATAAGTCCGATCCCTTGGTTATCGAAAATGGGTGTGAAGAGTACGGCCTCATCTGCCCCATGGAAGAGGTTGTTTCCATTGCCCTCTACAATGACATTTCTCATATGAAGATCAAAGATGCCTTGCCATCGTAAGAGACATTTCTTTGTTTACCAGAATAAAAGGGGTATTAAGAGAATTACATACAGTTAAAAAATGAGGGCATTTGCAAGATTGAGGGATTGCGTAGAGGCGAATTTGAAGGTGGATGATTTGTGCACTAAATATAAAAAATAGAAAAAATGAGAAGAAATGGAAATGATAAAGTCAATGATAAGCGAAAGTTGAACATAAAGGAAAAAAGCAAAGAAGCCAGCAGGTAAAAATGGTGTTTGTTTGGCTTATTTTTCTGAAAAGCAATTGCATGATCTTAATAAATTTATGAAAAGAGAAATGGTATTTCTCTGAAAGAATTTTAGTCTGATTACCAATAAGTGAATAATGCTTTCTTTTGGGTTTAATTAAAGAGAGTTATATTTGTCTTTATTTAAATTTTAGGAAAGGCAGTCTTCCTACCTCATGTCCTCCCTTTATCCTGCATGGAGAGAGGTTTGAGTGGACAGCGTAGCAGCTACCCCCTGGCACACGCATGGTGCAAAAGGGGAATAATACTAATTGGCTTTTTCTCTAAAGTATAGATGAATACTACTTTAGTCCCAATTATTTTTGCCTTATAATGCTGAGTTTATTGTAGCAAGGGGGAAGCTCCCCATGAAGAAAGGGAAAGAGTTAAGAAAGCTTAGGGAATCGATTAACTTATAGGGATAATCCGATTTTCACTGTCCTTTTGCCCTGGGGACTCACATGAAAAGAAGGGAGGGTGACTAGGGAACTAATCCAGACACACAATCCCTGGGGGTTTATAGAAGCAGGTTCCCCTGGATGCCTATGGTCCTTAGCATCTGATCCACTGAGCCCTTTCCCAGCCCCAAGCCACTGAAAATACCACCAGAACAGGGGCGCTGAAGTAGTTTCTAAATTCTGCTGCCAGAAGTGTTCAAGTGAGGGGTGTAGGACGTGTGTAGTAAGGCGGTACTGCACGACGATTAGGTCTGGAGTCACACTGCCTGGGCTTCTCTGGCTCTGCCGCATATGGCTCCATGAGCACATGAGTTACTTGACCTTGTACCTCAGTTTCCTCTTCTGTAAAATGGAGTTAATAGTATTCTTCAGCTTACAGGGCTGTTGTAAGAACTAAACACATTGATATACCAAAACTCTTAGAAAGAAGCCTGGTGCTTGATAAGTGTGGACTGTTATTATTTCAACTTTTAGTTCATGTGGAAATCTTGTTATCCATGTGGATTGAGGCTTCTAATGCATTTAACACATGCCTCTTTTGTGCCAAGCATAGGAAGATGAGTGGGTTATGGCCCTCCCCTTGAGGAGCCTGAAGTTGACTGGGTGCAGCAGATACATGGACAGGAGCTGTAACTAAATGGCACTGTAAACACAGCAACACACATAGTGCTCCATGAGAACCCATATAGGGGAGTGTCCCACCGCCTTGGAATCTTAGATGAGGAGGAGGAGAGGAAGTGAGAGAGCTAGTTTTAGAAAGAAGGAATGAATTTCAGGTTCTCTGCAACAAGGAAAAAAGTGGGTAAAGATATAGGTAAGTTTAGAAGTAGATGGCCAGTGACATAGGGTCATTTCTTACTGGGAAATGCCTTCTAATGGAGTAATACTATTGTACATCTTCAGCCTAGGATATTAAGTATTCTGTTTAATAATAGAAAGGGAAGGTACATCTTTAAAAATTTTTTTTTCTCAGTGTGATATTATGTTTAATGATCTAGAATTCAGGGATAATGCTGTGACTGCAGGAAGAGAGAAGAGTTATGAATTGGCTGCCAGTTTGTTGAAATGATTTCAGGGTTGTGCATTGATTTCTTCCTTGGATGCAGGTATATTAAGGATTTTTAGTCTAATGAACAAGAATATGTGAGTGGAATCAGTGTGAAATAACCTTTGTATTGCCTTCAGAATTTCATCCATTGTTTAAAAGTTTAAAATTGCTTAAAATGTCATTATTCCTAAAAGTTTAATGGTAAAATATTAAGTGCAAATTATCTGGCTGCAGTGTGCAAATAGTTTTTGAAAGTCTGTGTGTGGGCCAGGCACGGTGGCTCACACCTGTAACCTCAGCACTTTGGGAGGCTAAGGTGGAAAGATCAGTTGAGGCCAGGAGTTCAAGACCTGTCTGGGAAACATAGCAAGATCCTGCATCTACAAAAAATAATTTAAAAATTAGCTGGGTTTGATGGCCCATGCCTATAGTCCTGACTACTCAGGAGGCTAAGCCTTGGAGGTTGAGGCTGCAGTGAGCTATCTTAGCACCACTACACTGCAGCCTGGGTGACAAAGAGAGACTCTGTCTCAAACAAAGAAAAAAAATAAAATGTGTTGTTTATAACATCTCTCCTCACCTTCAAGTTTTGTATTGTGTGTTCGTGTGTGCACGACATTTTGTAACTCCAGATGCCACAGAGTAGGAAGGAAACAACTGAAGGGATTATTGATCATCATTAGATGCCCGGCTAAATCTGGAAAACATTAATTAACAACAGAGCCAGTTGACACCATTATGTGCTTTGCCCCAGCTGTGCTTGGCAGCCGCAATGCAGAAAAAGCAGGTGGTTAAATTAATCCCAAGTAGGGTATTGGCAGCTTGGATTAGGTAGAAGAACAGGAAGGGAGGGGTGGACAAAGTAATTTAGGAGGCTAATTTTTTATGGGGGTCAAGCTAGGTAGGGAAGGAAGAGTTGAGAAAGGGGCTTGGATGTTTAGGAAGAAAGTTTTACTTATTAATTAAGTATGTGGAGAGCTGGTTTTTTTGTTGCAGGACTTCTTACAGCTTTGGATATGCCAAATTAAATTTTGACTTTCAGTGTGGAGATTATGCTACATTACAATAACTTACTTCACTCTAGGATTGAAGCATCTTCAGTGTATCCTGGGATGCTAGTGCTGGGCAGAACATTTTGTATACACAGGTTCCTGCAGAACAGAGACTCTGTCACGATTGTATTTTATAATATAGCACTTAGGGGCTCAATGAATGCTCATTGAATCGAAATGAATTATGAATTAAAGAAGCTTTTTTAAGCATTTATCAGAGCCAAGCAATTATGTAGGCTTTTATTTTCTATTGGAAAAAGCATGGAGCTTTCCATTCAAGTGATTTATATAACTTTGGGAAGACAGTCTTCTTATAACTTCAAAACTGCCTGATACTTTGTTGCTTTATTGTCATAACCTGAAAGCCAGAATAATAGATAAAGTATTACTTAAAGATGATCTAGCCTTTTTAGAAAATATAATTATTTCTGAAATTGAAAAAGTTATTTTTTAAAAGGGTTTTTATATCTCTGCGTTTTTAACCCCATAGTGCTACTGCTACTGGTTGTGGTACGTGGAAATACAGGGTCGCTTAAGATATTTCCAGTCATATTTTTAAAAGTATATGTTTCTTGACTGTTTATTTTAAGCTCAGAAGAACATGTTTAACCAATATTTTTTAGTAATTCAAATCTGAGTAGTAAAGCATCTCTTATTAAGGAAAAATAATTAGCTAAATTTGGAAGCATCAGATCCTAAGCCATGAAACCCAAAATCAGGGTTCAAGGTCACTTACTTTATATAGAGCAGTTAAATGAGTAGCTACCACGTCAGTGAGCCTTTCGAGTTAACGTAGTATTTTCTATAGTATTTTATAAAAAGGAAAAGCTGTAGACTTTGGCACAAAAATATTTCCTTTCCTTTCCTTTGTCCTTTCCTTCATGAAAATCAGAAACATTGTTATTAAGATTTCATATTTAAAAATCTTATGGGTAACATCTCCATGTTCATGCATAACTTCCAAAACCATTGTGTGCTTCTAGTAGGAATGTACAACTCTCATGGTTCATTCTTTTGCCATTTCGTTTAGTTGATTTATGTTTCATTTTGAAGTTAATTTCTTGATTTTATTTTCTTATTCTGAAATCATTTAAACATAAATTTATGTTATGGTATATTTATGTTTTGGTTTTCGAATGGGTTTTAGTTTTATTTTTTGCCTTTCCTCCATTTGGTTTTTGATTTTATTTTTAACATTCCATGTGCACCCACCATTTTTCCCCCAACAGTGACCTACCTCAGGATCTTTGTCCTCTGTACAGGCCTGGAGAATGGGAAGACCTGGCTTCAGAAAAGGACATCAACCCGTTCAGTAAGTTCAAATCCATCAACAGGGAAAAACGACAGCAGAGTGGAGAGAGAACCATTACTTCAGATTCCAAATCAACAGGACCTTTGGAGAAATCAACAGAACACACACATATGAAGCCCTCAGGCAGCTCTGTGTCAGAAAAATTAAAGACACTGGAATCTTCTAGGGAGACAACCAGTGACTCTCCCTCAGTGACTAAGCTCAGCAAGGAACCTTCTGACACTCATGCTACATTTGAATCTTCAGCCAAAGAAAACTCCCTTTTAGGGGAAGATGATGACTTCGTGGACTTGGAAGAACTTTCTTCTCAAACTGATAGTGAAATGAACAAAAGAGACACCTCGAAGGAGTGCCTTTCTCTTGACCCGGAGGAGCTAAAGAAGGCTGAGTCACAAAGAATTAATTCTGCTTTGGAAACGCAGGTGCAGTCAGCCTTGAACTTTCCAGGAACAGGGAATGATGTTGAACTGAAGGGGGCCCTAGATTTAGAAGCCTGTGAGAAGCAAGACATAATGCCGGAAGTGGACAAGCAGTCTGGTTCCCCAGAAAGCCAGGTGGAAAACACACTGAACATACATGAAGATCTAGATAAAGTGAAACTCATTGAATATTACCTTCATAAGAACAAAGAGGGGTCACAGTTATCTGAAAATTTGCAGAAGGCAGAATTAAGTGATGGCAAAAATATTGAACCGGTGGGAATAGACATCACCCTCAGTAGTTCTCTTTCTCAGGCAGGTGATCCCTCGATTGAGGGCAATAAAGAGCCAGATAAAACCTGGGTGAAAGAGGGAGAGCCCCTTCCAATGAAACTAGACTCTTCTACAGAAGGAAATACAATTAAAGAGTCTCTAGACTCCCCTCTGGAATCCACTCTGGACAACAGCTGTCAAGGCACACAAACAGATAATAAATCGGAAATTCAGTTATGGCTATTAAAGAGAATTCAAGTTCCCATTGAAGGTAAGTTGTTTTTCTTTAATGTCTTTGTGTTCTGTTATATAATTGCTTCTCTAAAACTAATACATGTAATACCAAAATAGTTTGAGAACAATATTTTCTTGATAGAATGTATCCTTACTAATCATAGCATTAATAATTAGAGGGAAATTTGCAAGATACGATATCCTACTTCAGGAACTTGAACAATTACACAGATTTTTAGAGTTTTACTTCAAAAGTAGTTTACTTTTTAAAAAATCTTTCAAATAACCTTCCCTTTTTACCTTGAATTTCTAAATCTAAAGGAATTTAAAATGTTTTTTGAGGAGATTTAAATTCTAAACTGAATTGCATTCTGGTGTAATTGGGTCCTCAGTGCCATTCATTAGTGTGCATTCTGATGGAGTGTCACAATTCTCCATTATTTGCTATTCTCTTGGTTTTTTTTTTTT